GGTTTTCTCGTGATATTCTCTTATTCGGTTGATTTTTCTACTTATTTTCTTTGTCTTTCTTTTTTTCTCTCTTTTTGTCTGTCTGCCAAATTCTCTGTCTCTCTGTCTCTGTCTTCTCTGTCTGTCTGTGTCTCTGTCTCTCTCTGCTCTCCCCCCTCCTCTCCTCTCTCTCTTTCTCTCTCCCTCCCTCCCTCTCTCTCTGTCTCTCTCTATCTATCTATCTATCTCTATCTCTCTCTTTCTCTCCCCCCCCCTCTCTCTCTCTCTCTCTCTCCTCTCTCTCTCTCTCTCTCTCTCTCTCTCTCTCTCTCTCTCCTCTTCTCTCCTCCCCCTTCTATCTCCTCCCTCCACCCCCTTCTCTCACTCTTTTCAATTCCCGTTTCCCTCTCCTCTCCTCTTTCCCGCTTTTGCACAAGATCACATCGTGTAATGACTGCATATCTTCAACAAGTCTCAGAGAAGAGTCTTTAATTGAAGTTTAGTAACACCCCCAAGAAACATAAGAAAGGAAAGGAGAAATAGCTGCCAAGTTTAGAAGCGTGGAATAAAAATGTATTGTCTGAACCACGAAAACATTTTTTTTTTTTCTGAAACCCGATGTTCACTATTTTTATTTTCCTTTTTTTTTTTTTTTTTTTTTTTTTTTTGAGAACCTTTGCCCTGCGTCGCATGTTTAAAAAAAAAGTTAGGCTTTTCCTTGTCTTTTTTCCCCTGCTTTATTATAATTTTAAGTAATGTGTTATTCGAGCTGTTGGAAAATATTATCGTTGACAGAATTTTCCTACTGAAAGTTAGTTGATTTTTTATAATCGTCATTAGTAGCCTCATTACTGTACGATTTACTTTCATCATCATCGTCTTCATTACCACTATTCATATTATTATTATCATAGGTGTTATCAATTTATTACCATTCTTATTATTATTATTATTATTATTATTATCATTATTATCATTGTCATTAATATGATCTTCACTGTTATTGGTTTTATCATCACTGTTGTTATCATTATTATTATTAATAATATTTTTATTATTATTTTCATGGTCATCATCGTTATGGTATTGTAACCAAGGACCAAGATGTTATTATTATTATTATAATCATTACTATTACTATTATTCTTATTGCTATTATTATCATTATCATTCTTATTATTACTAATACTATTATTATTATAATAATCATTATTATGATTCTCTTTAGAATTGTTTCTTATTTTTCTCATTTACATTTTTCTTTTCTTTTTTTTAGATTTCTTTCTCATTATCTTTTGTTATTTTGTTTATTTCATATTCCCATATCAACTATTTCGATATTCAGAAAGAACATCGCATATAGGTCATGAAAAGCCTTTTTTTCTCTTTTAATTTCCTCTCTTATATTTTTCATTAATATATACATATCTATTAATAAATCATAGACATCTCTTTTCACACAATTTTTTTTTTAACCAACTTTGATATTTCTATTTTCAGCTTCTGAGTATCAAAAGAGCATTTTTCATAATCCGCCATTTTTTATGCCTGGGTTTGTTTGCCTTTAACAGAGACCGGAAAATGAAAGTGAAGGTCGCAGGCTTTCATCACTTGTTGCAAAGGAAAATTATTTTTTGTTTGTTAACTTGCACTAAATAAATTCAAAAGAAATGGTTAATAGGAACTTCGATGGTCTAATCTTCAAGTTAGTCATCGTTTATATCCGTACTTCACCAATTTTGATGATTAATGTTAACAATAGTATTGTTTATTGTTATGCCTATCTATCTATCGAGCTATCTACACACGCACACACACGAACGTGATTATATTATATATATATATATTATATATATATATATATATATATATATATATATATATTTATATATATATATATATATATATATATATATATATTATATAATACAACACACACACACACACACATATATACATAAATATATGTGTACACACACACACACACACACACACACACACACAACCTTTCCTTCCACTGGGTATTTCCCTCCGCAGTCCTCCCTCCAAACACCTAGAAATTACACGAGCATAAAAGTAGAAACGACTAGCATAGAAGAGAGAGAAAGAGAGAGAGAGAGAGAGAGAGAGAGAAAGAGAAAAAAAAAAAACATGCTGTCGAAAAAGTCGGTTTCGATTTGGCGTGAAATATCTCTTCTCGGAGCGAAAGGGGGAGAGGGAGAGGCGAAATGAGGCAGAGGAAGGGGAGAAGAGGGAGATGGGAAAAAGGAGGAGGAAAAGATAGCGAGGGGCGAGGAGAAAGAAAAGAAATAAAGTAGGAGGAAGAGATGAAGAGGGAGAGTAGGGACGAAAGCATAAGAAAGGGGAGGGAGAGAATATAGAAATGAGAAAATGAGGAGAAACAAGCAAAATAACAAGGAAGAGTAAAGGGGGAAATGATAGGATAGGCTTGACGAGAAGAGAAGGAAGAGGAGAATAATAATAAGACATAGGAGTGGAAGACGAACCTAATAAAAAGAAGAGGAAGAAAGATAGACAAGAAAACGAGAAAGATGAGGATAGTCATGAGAAGTAAGAAGAGAAGGAGGAAGAAAGAATAACGAACAGGGGAGAGGAAGGAATGAAAAGAAAAGAAAAAGTGAGACTGGTATGATGAAGACGGAAAGAAAACAAAATAAGGGAAAAGAATGAATATAACAACAAAAAAAAACAAAGAACAAACAGCAACTCTAATAACAATAACAACAACAACAGGAATAACAACCATCAATGGAAAACACACATTTCCTTCTCGTTATAAAATTACTGTCCGTCAAGGCTTCCACAGGGACGTATTTTGGGTCCCAGGCTGTTTCTGCTTCCTTGGGTGGAAATTGTGTGGAGAAAGTATCGTAATATTCTCATGCATGTATGATTCTGCGTGTACTGTATATATTAACATGCGAGTGTATGTTGAATCTATTTAGAAATAATGTCTGTTATTGTTTGTAGGTGTACCTAGTTTGCGAAATTGTTCTAAACTCTGGAGAAAAAGGGATGTTTCAAAGATTAAAAAATAATAATTAATAATAATAATAATAAAATATAATTATATAATATGATAATAATAATAATTATAATAAAATTGATTGTGCTAGATTTAGTATTTCTGATTATCAGCGTCTGTTCGTTGTTTTCACTGACTACTAAGAATGATAAGGAATGGAAATATTTTACTGTTACGAAATATATTATGTAACATAACGATGATTGATAATTGTGAGGCTATAAATGGTAATGAGAGAAGTGATATGACTCTTAATAATGGTAATGATGATAATAATGATGGAGTATCTTGGTAACTGTATCGATGAGCAATGCAACCACGCAAGCAACCTATTAGTAATGACTGCAATAACGAAATAACAATAAATAAAATGACACTCGCAATAATCACAACAAGATAATAAAACCTTTCTAAATCACAGCTGTCCAAATAACAGGAAATTACTACACAAACTCCACTACAAAACACACACACAAACAACACAAACACAGTCACTATAAATCACACATACAAACAAACACAATTATCCATACGCATATACACACACAACACACACAAACACACACACACACACACACACACACAGACACATACACAGACACCCACACATACACCACACAAACAAACACAAATCTCTAACCCCCCTTCCTCCTCCTCCCCCCCCACCTGGTCAGCCACCTGGTCAGCCCCTAGACCCCCCCCCCCCCAAAAAAAAAAGGAGACACGTCAGTTACAAAAACGTCAGCCACCAACACCGGCTCCTGACACCCAGTCACAGCAACACACACACACACACACATGCACATACACGAGTCAGCTGGCGACACCCAAAGCAATAATAACGGAGAGACAGCAGAAGTAAACAACACAGTTTTTTTTTTTTTTTTTTTTTTTTTTTTTTTTTTTTGTCCGGTTCAAGTTAGGAAGTTCTTTGAAGGGAACTTATTTTCCTCACCTTTAATTCTTGCGGGAAGTTAGGTGGTGAGTGAACATCTGTGAGTCTATTTGTGGAGAATGAGAGTGAAGTTAGGATGTTGCTGTATGAAGTTTATTTTCTTCGGTCTTTTATGTGTTGTCTGTCTGAAATCTCTTCTCTCGGTCTCTTCTTCTCTGTCTCTCTCTGGCTCTGTCTCTCTCTCTTCTCTCTCTCTCTCTCTCTCTCTCTCTTCTCTCTCTCTCTCTCTTCCCTCTCTCTCTCTCTCTCTCTCTCTCTCTCCTCTCTCTCTTCTCTCTCTCTCTCTCTCTTCTCTCTCTCTCTCTCTCTCTCTCTCTCTCTCTCTCTTTCTCTCTCTCTCTCTCTCTCTCTCTCTCTCTCTCTCTCTCTCTCTCTTCTCTCTCTCTCTCTCTCTCTCTCTCTCTCTCTCTCTCTCTCTCTCTCTCTCTCTCTCTCTCTCTCTCTCTCCTCTCTCTCCCTCTCCCTCTCTCTCCTCTTTATCTCTATCTTACCTACTTACCTATTCATCTACCTCTATCTATCTATCTCTCTGTCTATCCCTGTATAAATCTGGATTAGATACACAAAACTCAATTTAATTCGCTCGCCCTTGCATTTCTATGTCACAATCGTTTGCTGGAATCTTCTCTGCTGCCTTTATTAAATTCCTTTTCAACTCAATTTTTACAATTTTTATCGCCACAAAGGTAGTAAAATCCAATTTGGAAAATAGAAGGAGAAAAAAATAAATATATATATACGGAAGTCAATCATATGAAATAAAAGGAAATTGGAAACAGGAATTTTGTGGCAATCAATATTTGTTTCCATCAGTGAAGCGCTTAGTAAACAATGACTCTTTTAGACACCTCCGAACGCCCTGCCTATCGAGAGAGGAAAAAATCAAAAGTCAAAATTTTATTTCATTTTTGGAGTTTTGGTGTTATTATTGATATTTCCGAATGTGTGATCAGTTTCACTCAGCCTCAGAACCATCTCGTCTATTTGGACTTATTAGGACTTGTATTTCATCTTTCTTTCCTTCTTCTTCATCTACTCCTTTTTAATCTCCTGTCCTCTCTTGTCCTTCCTGCCTCCCTCCATCTATCCATTTCTCCCCTCTCCCCTCCTACGCATCCTTTTCCATTCACCTCCCCTCTGCATCGATATTCACTTTCCTCTTATACTCTCCCTTCTCCTTCTTCCTCCCTCCTCCTTCCTCTCCCCCTCCCCATCCTCCTATCCCTCCCTCCTCCTACCTCCTCCTTCCCCTCCCATCCCCGTTCTCCATCTACCTCCCTCCCACTTCATCTCTATCCACCTCTTTTCCCCACTCCTCCTTCTCCGTCCTCTCCTCCTTCCCTCTTCCCTACTCCCTCCTCCTTCCCCTCTTTTCTCCTCCTTCCCTCTTCCCTCCTCCTTCCCTCTTCCCTCCTCCCTCCTCCTTCCCTCCCCCATCCCCCTTCTACGTCCATCTCTCTTCCCTCTTCCCCCTCCCACCTCCACCTCCCTCCTCCTTCTGCGTCGCCAGTCACTTCCCTCCCTCCTTCCTCCTTTCCCTCCCACTCCCCCCCCCCTCCCCCTCCCTACTACCCCCCCGGCCCGGCCACCCGCAAAAAAAAAAAAAAAAAAAAAAAAAAATCCATTATGATGCCCCTCTCTTTTATCTTGGCAGTTATCGTCTCAAAGGCACGGTAACAGTTGGTTGTGACAGATGGCAAGTGACGTCATTCTGTGCCCTCCAACCCTCCACCTACCCCTCCCTCCCTGCAAACCCCTTCCCTCTCTCCCTCCGTCTTCCCTCCCTCTCCCCTCCCCCCCCCCACCATTTTTTTTCCATCTGCGGCCGGATTTCATTTGTTGTTTCTCGTTTTCATACTTTTTCTTCTTTTATCTTCTTTGTCCCTTTGTTCTGCTTTCGCCTTATCTTTCTTTTCCTTTGCCTCTCGCCTCATTTAATCGAATTTCTTTATCTCGGTCTTTACGCTTCCGTTCGCTTCAACTTTTGAGTTTCTTCGACTGCAATTTCTTATTCCATTTCCTCCATTTTTCTCCTGAGTATAATCGCCCTCAAGCCGAGTAACGGTGAAATCTGGAATCACTCTCCCCCTTCGCACCTCCTCCTCTTCTCTTCTCTTCTTCTGTTATCTTATCCCTCTTCTCTTCTTCCATCTCCTCATTTTCACTCCTGTTATTTTTCTTCTCTTTTTTTATTTCTCTCTCTCGCCCTTCCTCCTCTCATTTTTCTTTCCCTCTCTTTATTCCTATGTGTTCCACTCTTTCCTCTTTTATTTATTCTCCTACTCCTGCTTTATCTCCTCCTCTCCTCTTATCACCCCTTCCTCTTCCTCCATCTTCCCTCCTCCATCATCTCCCCCCTCTCCTCTCTTTATGATCTACCTCCCCTTCCCACTCCTCTCTCTCCTTTCCTCCTTCTTCTTGCCTTCCCCCCTAGCTCCTCCTCCACCTTCTCCTTTCTATTCCCACTCCTCTCTCCTCCCCTCCTTCTCTCCCCTTCCCCCCACCTCCTCCTCCCACCACCTTCTCCTCTCTATTCTC